GGGTTCAAGCTGCTGGCGCTGAAACCGTCTGGAACGCTGGAATGTGTTGGATGTGGCAGACCTGAGTGCTACACTTCGAGGGTTCAGGGCCTCGGATGCGGCCGCAGTGGTCAGGGGAGTCCGTCTGCCCGTAGAGGGACTGCTACTAGAGGTTCCGTTGAGCTGGAGGCCACTGCCAGCAAACGTCCCCGCTGGTAGGGTGGCTGCTAAGGCACGATGAGACGACTCTGCGTTCGAGGTGTTGACGCAGCTTCTGGAAGAATGCATGGGACTCTCGTCGGACTGCCTGTCCGCAGAGACGTCGGCGTACTCACTGGCCTCGTTGTCTGCTTTAGAGATAACAGCTTCCTCCATCTTGTCACTCTGACCCTGCCATGGAATCAATGGTTTGCTAGCCTGAATGAGCAAAGAAACACGACTAGCGTAAGCATGATAACATTGGGAGAGGAGCATGAAGCAAGAATGAATAGGTCAAAAGACAGCCTCAAGGAGGCGTTTTAAAGAGTGCGTATGAAGTTGACTTATAGAAGTTGCCAAAAAACGGTGAAATTTCAAAAGAACCGTAAAAGGAGAGTACTGAACAAAGTATGCGCACTGAACACCTCTGTTGTTGTCAAGCCCTGAGCAGAGGTAAATGGACCGAAGCCGATAAGGCAAAAAAGAGTCCACAGAGAGTGTGGTCTTCAGAGGGCACCAAACTATCGCTGTGGAAATGTTAGCGTTTTTATTGTTTGTTGACAAGCGAAATGTATGACATCAAACTCTGCTTTTAAGGTGCGGAAATCGAACACTAGCAGATGAAGCTAGAACTAGGGGAAATTATATGGTGAGGATACAAATAATACGTGACGAAAGTGTACACTAATGAGATTTTGTTGGTATAAAATGATACTGAGAGGGGGTAGCACCAAAATACCTCGAAAACGTGACTGCTGATATCTAAGTCCTATTCGCTGACAAGGAGAATGACTCTGCGATTAGAACTGCCTAGCGGCATATTCACTGGAGGTTGCCACAGGTTAATGCCGTTATTTGTGAATTTAGAGTCGCTTGTACTTAAAAGAGGATAAACTGAAGTAGAATTGGATGGAAGAATTCATGAAAGGGAGATGGGTATTTGGCCAGTGTGCTCTAAATACAAAACTCGCATTAACCCAAAAGGAAATATAAATGTGGGCACATTTTGGCTCCGATATGTATAACCGTAAAAAAGGGAGGAAGAATAAACGAGTGTCTAACTGAATGAGTCATTATGCATTGTATTGCATACTTACGAAGCGTCAGGTAGACGCATTTTTCGGATAGAGAGGGCAATTTTCTGACACTAGTGTTGACGACAGGTATTATTTGGTACAAGCATTTTAATATGTTAACCCCAAACCTCGCACAATTATGAATGTACAGGGAGACGTAGGGGGACGTGGAGGCTCGTTTCGAGCAGAGGATTCATGCCCACTCAGCCACTATTTCCGAGCTCAAAATCTGCAGGCAGCTTACTAGAAACGCATGGGAGGAGACAGCACGGAGTTAGACATCCTCGGAGGCTGGGCACAGTTTACGCACCAAAAACAACCGGACGTTAAAAACTAGCAAGATGTGCTAACAGCGGATGCTTAGAAAATTGCCAGTTAGTAAAATAACTCGGTTTACTCAGAGTTGAGGTTTAGACTGCAATAGCCCACCTCGAATGTGATGCACATGATATTCGCACTTCTGTGTGATCAGGCCGGCTCGTGTGTAGAACGTGTAGACGAGCCGTTTAGTTTCATCGGCCACTGCATACAACCTTCACCTCAGGTCGTATTGGCCTCATTTTGCTATCAAAACACGGTGTGCGTAGGGAAGAGAGATGCCTTAGATGCAGCACAAGACCTGCATGCTATACGTCTAATTCACACGCACATCGTAATCTCGCCTTCATGACGGTGGTCCTCGAAGCGCGCGTCCGGGCCACAGATACTGCCTTTTATTGTGCTATAAGGTGGTGCAGACCACGGCACTTACCCACTGCCATCGACAATGGGGAACATTTCGTAAACAGAAATAGTAGGCTAAATTCGGCCAAACAGAAGTCATTTTATTAGCAACGTCGTAAAAACTCCGGATTGCACCGATGCGTTATTTGGTATCAAGCGTGTGGAAGCAGTAATGCCTCAACGAAAATAATTTTTTTTAGGATCCTGGGAAAATTGGCAGGTTTTTAAATGTAATGCAGCGAGTGGGGAAAAGCCACTTAAAAAATGCTAGAGGACAGCGAGGGCCGCATATTTGCTTAACAATGGTTGTTAATCGATTACATCGAATAAGATGGTTCTTGTCGAAGACAAGGAACCGCAACTTTCGTAACTTCAGGGCCAGCAGAGGTAACATACCAGAAGCGTTATCCAAGGACATAATGAACTATTCTGCCCGGAAGTGGAATTTGCTATATTCTGGCAAAGGAGAACCATCCCTTTTTCTGCCGGACGAAATTTTTTTTATATTGGTACTAGTTGACATAAGCACTTTTTAAAAACTGCTAAACCCAACACGGAGGTGATAGGGAAACACACATCAAGACTATTGATAGTTCGGTTTTTCCTTATAAGCAGGTGTCAAAACTGAAACCATTTAAAACTAGACAGGTTTAATTGTATGGATTGTGGTGTACGTGAATACCTGGGCGACTATAAAACAGACTTCCCTCACTAGAATTTCCTCATTAGGATTTCGCCTTTAGTTAAAAATTAGTGGTGATAAAAAGTTACCTTCTTGTTCACAGAAGCCGGTTCAGCCACCTTGCTTGGAGAGCCTGTACTGTGAGCGGGGATTGCGGACGAAGAGTTGCTTAAGCCGGTGCACGCGTCAGTGAGGCAACGTTCAGAAGTGGCTGTAGGCGTCAGCGCTCGAATCGAGAGATCGGTGTTGGAGAAGGAGTCAGATATAAAGGATTTTTGGGAGACCTCATCTGTGTCAGTATAGGTAGAGGGAGGAAGAGCAGAGTCTCGTGTCAGGAGTATCTGCTTGCCTGCATCATCCGCCGAATGTTGCAAGGGGTGACGGACAGGCGACAGAAAGGGCTGATTGTGACTGTGGTTTGACTCGGACTGCGAACGGTAGAGATCTACGTCGACCGACTGCCGACGATTGGTAACTACAGTTTGGCTCCTGGAAGCACCAAGGCGGGAATGTTTGGAAATGCCCAGACAAGAGAGAGCTGCCAAAGGCGCTGCATCTGGATAGATTTCGGTGATCGCACCTACGGGGGCTTTTGTGGAGGGTTTCGGTACGTGTGATTGACTGTTAATTGTGTGGTACCTTGTCTGCAACAAAGTAACGTACGTTTTTAACGAAAAAAATAGATTTACTATAAACAAGGAGATTGACAGTAAAGTAAAAACGTAAGGACGGTCTTAATAGATTTACAACAGAAGCTGGTAAAACTGAACAGGTATGAGTAAAATGATCCGTTTCTAGGTGTAGGCAGTTACTATCGGCGTACTGTCAAAAGATTGAACTCCGGGGAGGAAAGCGCACTTTCCCGATATAATAGACCCAGTGGAGATTAGGACCGGAACCGGAGTAATGGGGAGCGTCCATGGACTAAATTTTAGGCGGAAGGTCTTAATTGCTCTCACACTCAAGCAGATACGATTATATCCAGATCTCGAAGAAGCGTACAAGGTATCCGACAGAATTATATAATTTTTACTCCAGTGGCGTCCTATGTCAACACTGTGGACATCCTTCCGCTCAATAAAAACGGAGTGTAAACCGGAGAGTTGTACAAAGGCCATTCATCCGGCAATGTGCCCCATTTACCGGGCGAGCTAAGGCAGAAGTCAAAACAGTCACTGCAAAAAGGAAGAGTCTAGTCTCGCATGACCCCTTAGGTTTAGTGGAGCAATCGGCATACTTCAACAGTTGGCATATACTCCTTTTGCTTCGGCAGGAGGTCGCGAAAATGGCCGTATTTGCGTTTTTTCTGCTTGAGTGTTTTAGTTGTTATCTTTTGTATTCGTGATTGTTAACAGATTGTTGGACAGCTTTTGACTAACATTCAAGTCTGTGAGTGCCAATTAGCTTGTTTCGATGTCTACTTTGGTATGCTTGCCTCCCGTTTCCTATGTGTGATAAAACCTTCACCTCTTATTACTTCTAAGTCGTTGTAATGACGTAGGTGTTCAACTTAGGCTCCGCAGTCATATCAACTTTAAAAAAATAGCATCATACTTCACAAACTATGGAGTTTTGAATACGCTGAAATACAGTATTTTAAGTATGCGGCTTAAATTGCACATCACGATTTTTCATTCTGTTGGAATTGTCAAAATGATGAAATGGGATCATTTGTATAGGATTCGACATAAAGATAGATATCGAGGCGACATTAACGTGCTTGTGAAGTAAAATGGGTTTTAAATTACATGTTGAATAAAATTTTCAAACTCACCTGATAGTATGGAGAGTACTCGTAATTGCTAGCCTCAGAAAGTTTTTGTAAAACGTCCGCCCCTCTGGTCTCAATATAGAAGTAAATAAGTCCGTCGGCGACAAGAAGGTCAACTGAATCAAACTTTTTCTCTCCAACATAATGCAAATGCGACTTTTCGTCATAGTACAATTTATAATTTTTTGTCACTCCATCAAACCTACACAAAAGTTTTAAAATGCATATTTGCAGCAAACCTAATTGCCAATGTAAATGTTCCATCAGCCTTCTGACAATCTCGCAC